CCTCTTCCCTGCTTCCCAGTCTTCCAAAGTGTCAATTAATGTCAAGGAAAGATAACGTATTCAGCAAGGAAACGCAACATGAAGTGAGAGTTTTAGTATTATATTCTAGAGCACCATGCTAATAACGATCAGCTCAAAATTAGTCACAAGAAACATAACTGTAGCTTCCATGGCTTAAAAAAAAAAAAAAAAAATTTTTACATTTTTACATCCATTCGCAGAAGCATGTAAGTTTGCTTCCTGTACAACCAAGTTTTTAAAGTTAGAAAAGGATAGGACAAGTAATTTGTATTGCTTAGATTGAGAGTAAGTATTAAATGTTTGGTTTTTTTCTCTCCCCAGAACAGGCATATTCTCCCCTCCACTTTACACCAGGACCTTCTGAAAATTGTCACCTACCAAACCATTTAAAAGTTATTACTATCCCCCGACATAAAACAGCCTTGCAAGAGTTAGTAGCTACTAAAACATGGAACTACCTACTTTGCTGAAGATATTGCACACTTTTTTTTTCTCCAAAGTTCCCACTGCACTTTTTTGAACATTAGTTGTACTGAGGTAAATAAGTAATAGTAAAAATCTCTAACAAATCATGTTCTCACAAAGTAACAGCTGTGATGGAACAAAAAGTTGTCCAACATGAGTTAAGTGATGTTATAACAGTAAAACCAGTATTGTGGAATTAAATTAATCCAATAAAGAACCAATCTTATTGTCAATCTGCCCCATCACCCTAATTATTAACAAAGATGCTGAACAGGACTGGACTCGGTATCAACCCGGGCATGCACTAGCGACTGGCCTCCAGGTCGACTTCGTGCCACTGCTCACCATCTGCTGGACCCAGCCATTCAGCAGGTTTTCAGTCCAGCTCACTGTCTGCTCATCCAGCCCATATTCCATAAGCTTCTCTATGACGACCTTACGGGAGACCCTCAATGGGGGTGTAGCTTGGCTTCCCAATGGGAATTTGGAAAATGCACTTCACTGACAAGAGATGTTAGCATGCTGTAACAGTACAGTAGTGTGTCAAGAACTGAAGGCTGAAGTGGGAAGCGCTACTCTGAAAACAGTTTAGTTCAAATAACAGAATACAACTGTTGAAGCTTCGAAAGTTGTAAGTGATATGCATATCTGTCCATAGACTTGCTTTCAGAGTTTTGATTTTCTTTTTTTAAAAATGGTACTATAGCAATATAAGGTATAGAAACCATATCATTCACCTAAACTGTTATACTCAATTCCAAACAAATCATGTTGTTAAAACAATATTCTGCTTTACCACACATCTAATTGAATATTTTTTTTTGGTCTTAACCTGTGAGTTTGCTACACTCCATAAAAAGTTTTAAGTTTTTGAAAAATTTAGACAATCCAGTTGTGCCCATCTCCTAACAAAACAAGTATCTTAGGAAGAAAAACTGCTCATTAGAATGGCTATAGTAAAGAGCCAGAAACAAAGCTAAGAGAACAAAAGTTGATAGGGCAAATGTAAGAGGCAATTTGAGAATTTACTCTTAAGGACTTTTTAATAAGGTGAGACACTTGTCAAAACCAACTAAGATGCCGGCTCTAGCTTATCCTTATATACTACCTTCAAAACGTTTCGCCTCATGCTAGACACCTTTCATTTCCCTTTGCAATCAAGTGTCAGACAAACTCTGTTCTTCCCATAGAAGGCTGACACTACTGAAAAGGGTTCAGACTCGAGAACCACACAGCCCACACCCAAACACTGCTACAGGTACAGAGAAGCCACAGTTGTCATGTTCTGCAGGACTGTCCCAAATGACCTCCCATGGAAAACTAAACAGAACAAGCCAATTTACTTTCCACTTGAAGTGTGGAGTTAAGATCCTCTCTCTAAACACTCCTTTTATTCCTTCTCAATCATCTTCCCTGCGTATCATTTCCATTCTCATTTGAAGAACACAGTCTTAAGAAATGCCATAAAACATTTAATTTGCTCCTTTTTTTCAAATATTACCTGTTGACTCCTGAAGACTTCACAGCAAGTGTTAAAACTTGAATTCAAACCTAATTCTTACAATAACTCTTGCTTTTAACCAAGAGCATCTGTAAAAACATACACCATCTTCTGTATTAAGTCATCACTGAAATTAGTTTTGAGGAAGCCCTGACCTTCCCTGGGAGAAGCAACTTCTACATTAACTCCTTAAGCTGGCAATTTCTATGTTAGCACCCCCCCAGTGATTCACCTTCAGGGATGAGATGCTTTCAGATTCAGAATGTATCACTAATCCCTCCTCAAATTCCTAACTAGTATTTCGCAGAAATTTAAGAACTCAGGAATTTTTCATACCAAGTAAGTTTTATTCCTTTAGCATCTTCAGCTTTAACAAGTGTATTTCATGCTACCCCATTCAGAAGCTGGGGAGAAGCTCACAACTCAACAGCAAAAGCCTGCATTTTTCCACTCAAACTATGAGAAAAGCTCTTCTCTGTACGTATCATAAGGTCAAATTTAGTGAACTGATTTTGATGTTTGAAGCCATAAAAATGAAAACCAGCAAGCTAACATAGTGGCAACCACATCAAACTGTAGCATTATCTACCTTTCTATCACACTTAGTAACACAAGTCCTCAGTTGTCAGTAGCTCTGGTCCAGCACAAATTTGTGTTGTCCCCCATCCACCTGCTCCTGCCAAAAACCCCATACCAAACACTACCATATTGTGCGGTCTAATAAGAAGTCTGTTCTTTGTTGCATGAATAGCTCACCACCTACCTCAGAGTAATCCATTAAATCAAGCTGAGCCTTGAGAGGCCCAGAACACTGGATCGATGCTGATAGTACTCCTTAAAAAATAGATTTTAACTACATTAGTCATTGAAGTAAATTTGTTACTTCCATAATTTAAACTGTAGCCATTTACAATCTAAAGAACACCACCCTCCTGCATCCCTCCTCCTGTGGATGCAGGAGAATACACTTTGCTAGAGAAAGCTTAGGAGCATCCCCATGCAGAAGTGAGCTTTTGCTCTCAGTATCTACTGAAATTCAAGGCTGCCTGCTGCCAGTGCCAAAGCCTCTTCCCCCCAACTTCTCACAGTATCATATATTACCACAATGCAGAAGTGCAATTTTAAAACAGCCATAAGCTATTTCTTCACGCTGAAGGCCACACAAAGCAGTACTATTAATGTACGTTTAACTAGTTGTAGAATGGATAAATGGTACTCCAAGCAAAGTAAACAGAATCACTTGATTCATCTGTTTCATGGTACTCTTCCGCAAATAACATTTTAAGATGAAGTCAGTCAACTGCAGTCAGTGCAGCCACAGCATTCCTATTTACTTAGAATATTTAGTGTTAAAGTAGTAGCCATCCAATGTAAAATCATTCTGAATTACGTATAAAAGCATTTGCTAACATATCACTTATTAATGTCTAATGAAGGTTGTATTGCAAGTGTTCTGACACTTACATCTAAGAACCTGTACTGAATTGCTGCCCATGATCCTGCTGTAACTTACACCAGCTGAAGTCACTAGTATAGAGAAACAGCAAATCATTAACTATGCTTGTTACTTAATTTGGATTTGCTTAAGAGTCTAAAGGTAGTATTCAGCAGTTACTAGACCCCCTTACGCAGTTATGACTAAACACTCTTCCCTCTTTCTTATATCCTTGTTCTACAAGTTTTATCCGTTTATCCTTTACCCTACAAAACACTACCACATAACACCTCCTTGGCTAGCAGTGTTTCAAAATAACTTATTGCATGAGCTAATGCTACAGAGTCACTCAAAATTCCCTAGCAGAGCTACATGGGAGCAACTTTACTGCACTAGACCCAGGCTGCAATGGAAGAGAAAGTTATTTTAGCACAGACGTGAATGTAAAGATTAAAACCTAGCAGGAAAACACTGACTTCTGAGAAGTTTTAAAGCTCTGTCCGCAGTCATCTTGAGCTTTAAAACTTAATCTTTGTTGCAAAATTTTACCTTTACAGAAGTTAATACATGCAGCATTACAAACAGGCTGATTATTCAGTGACTGAAGAAATAGAACAGGTTGGGTAAGTGACCACATGAACATCAAATGTCGGCCAAAGCTCCTAAGTTAAAATAGTTCTTTTCCTTTGCACATAAAAGCAAGAGTCAAACGCAGTTGAACCAACATAGCCTTAATCATATGATTTACAATCAGTTACAGAATGAACACTTCTGAATCCTTCTAAGCTACAGAAAGAACTGCGGTAGTTTAGCTGCATGGCTAGGACTAACAAGAATATCCTCAAGGCTTTTAACTCTTTAGCTATTCTTGTTTTAAGGCACACATCACAGAAGATGCTTCAGATTCCTCATACCTAAAACCAAACCCTGACATGCATAGATGTTTACCCTTACTCATTCTAGAAACACAGAACTGTGAAGCAATGCTCTGTTGAAGACATTGCTTTTTCACTTACTGAATGAAGAACAGCCTTTTTCAAAAAGACAGTTATGATGAAGAACATTTTGCATACTTCTTTAAAAATCAAGTTATTCTGCCGAACTTTATCTCTACAGAGCTTTACAATGAAAAGACATCATTGTAGAAAAGTTGTAGTAAAGGTCATATTCGGTATTATAGACTGACCAGACCAAGTCTAAGGTATGAAAGAAAATAATAGTATTTAGTTCTCCACTGCCAGACAGAGAAAGAGACAGAGGCTTAAAAACAGGAGGAGCCAGTGAATATGTGTTACAAGCCACAAGGAATAATGGGACCTCCCCTTGCAGAAACACTGAAATTTAGACACAGTCTGATCTGTGCCCAAGTACTGAAATGGTAGTTCTTAAACTTCCATTAAAAAAGTTATCCCTTTAACTCCAAGAACTTACAAGTAATGTTTCAAACCATGAAAATCCAGAGCTAGAAGACACTGTTGAAGCTATTTAGCACAACGACAGTTTTCCATACAGGCATAGCCTGTGTTAACTGCAAGTATCATGAATGTAATGAGCTGAAACATTTGCACAACAACTTACTGTGTAAGTGATAGCGGCCAACATTCCAATCACAGTCAAGGAACTAATGGAAAATGAGAGAGCAGTCAAGCCATCTGTAAAAAAGAAAAAAGAAAAGCTTGTTAAAAATTCCTACAGTAGAGATATAAGAATGTCTCTTCCTGAATTTGTTTCCTGAAGATATTTAAGTTCATCAGCTTGAAGATAAAAAAAAAATTGAGACACAGTTACCCGCCATAACAACTCAGATGAAAAAGTCACCTAGCATAGCTTTTTGTCCACAGCAGATTCTCCTCCAATACTGGAAGAAGCACAACAGTCATCTCACCTTTGCTACAAGTTCACAGATGTTGCATTCAGTCAAATGGTTGACTAGCCACTAATGAACTTGCTCCCATAGCTGTCTAATGTCTCTTCAAGAATTATTTGTGGCCTCCACAGGCTGCTGTGGTAATTTTCACAATTTACAGGTGCATTCTGGATGGTTCATCTTTGTTTTGTTTGTTATCACCTGATTTCTCATAATAAAACACTATCCAGAGGATCAGGCAAGCATGGATCCTTCCAACAACCAAATGAGCCAGTCTGCAGGCCTCAGCTTCACTCAGACCATGTACATCCACATGTATAAACTGGAAAAAGGTCAGGGGACTAAGGAGTTACTGTAGCCTTACTATCACTGTAGAAATGAAAATGAAAAGTAGAAGAAAAGTGTTACCAAATTCATCCCCAAAGACATCAAACTCCCTGAATCCTCCTGCATAATTTTTCACAACAGCCCTGTCCCTAACCTCACTGTGCAAGACACAAGATGGCAAGCTTTTTTGGTTAAATAGCAGCATGGAAACTTATAGTAGCTGTTACAAAAATTAACTTTAAGCAATTAATTTCATGTTTGTACCCAGTTATAACAACTGAGCTACTATTTAGTGTTCTCCCCCCATCCTCCACTCTAGTTAATTCAAGAATTTAGAGCACAGTAACTTTTATTTCTACTGACACAGAATTATTAGTCACCTTCCATTCATTAGCTGGTTTCCATTCTTTTTTCCTGAACATAGTGTCAAGTATTCACAAACTGAGAAATTATAATTATCCTCTGTAAGAAGCTGCATCTTTCTTCTGACCAATCCTACAGGCCTCCTTCAAAAAATACCAAAACCTAACAGAATAGCACAACCAAATCCAACTTCACAGCTCAAATCTTTCCTTTGCTATTTTTGCTGGATAACACCAAACAACTTCCCCAAAGCTAACAGCAATATGTTCATAAGTTTCAAATTCTACAGCTACGTAGAATAGCTAAAAAAACAACCCAAACCAAAACAAAAAATATCACTATTTCCCCTTTAGTACTTGTGAAAATTTAACTTATGTTCTGAAGCTTAGGGGAAAAAAACCACACATAGGTGACCTCTATTTCTAACGTATCACACAATGTACTGAAATATCACATTTGATGATCCTCCTGTACATGTATTTGAAACCAACATTTAATATCCATTTGAAAAGTCTGAACTATGTTCAATGGAACATTAAGAAACTAACTGGCTGAAAAATTGATAATTGTATATCAGAAGTATATTATCAGGCTCTGCCTCAGTGGATGACTTTGCATTCCTTTTATAACCCCAGTACAAACCGAATGGACACGGAACAAACCCAAAATTAAAATGTTTGTATTTCTTGGGTTAACTGCAGAGAGACAAAGGAAAAGGATAAGTTAACATAAAAACTGGACAACAGGTACAAGTAAAGACAACAGGAAAGAATTTTGTCCTCTTTTCTCCAGCATCTGGAATACGAAATAACCTTTTGTTAACAATACTGACCAGGGACTTGCTGGCTGTGGAGTAGCTCTACAAAAACCCTTGGGGGTCTTGGCAGACAGGAAGCTGACGATAAGCCAGCAGTGAGCCCCAGCAGCATCCTGGGCTGTATCACCAGGAGCATGCCCATCTACTAAGGGAAAAGACCATACAGGGAATACTGCAATCAGTTTTGAGGCCCCCACTACAAATGAGATTGACAAATCTGAGGAAATTAAGGGGAGAGCTAAGTTGGTCAGAGGTTGGAGCACATGCTATGCTGAGAAGTTGGCAAAGCCTGGCTTGTTCAGCCTGGAATGGAGACAGGTTTGGAGACACCTAATACAGCCTGCCTGCTTATCAAAGAGGTGGAGCCCAGTCTCTTCAGTGGTGCACAGTAGTTGAGCGTGAGACAATGGGTGGCAGTGTGTATGCCCACACTGGATAAGAGAAAAAATATTTTGGTGTTTTTTTTCCCATGAGATAAAAAGCCTCCATGTTGAGCTAGCTGATAAAGCCCTGAGCAACCTGGTCTGACCTCATAGTTTCCTTCTTTGTGCAGGAGATTGGACTAGATGACCTGAGGTCCCTTCAGTCTGAGCTATCCTATGAAACTGAAAGTCACAAGAGAATGCTGGTAGAGTCAGAAATCAAAAGCAGACTTTCACATCTCAATCCAGCCTGTTAACGATGCAGCCTTCCTAGAAACAAACATTAGCTACACTATTTCCTTCATAGCAAGGACATGTAAGAGAGCTGAATATTTAATTGACAGTCATATCAAGGTAGCCTAGAAAAATGAGCTTACATCTCAGTTCAACCACTGTCACTACCTGTATAAACAGTTTAAGAAGCATTTTCTTCTACGCTGTCAGTTAGAATCTTTGTGCCGCAAGAGAAACACAAGCAAGCAGACAGCCAACAATATGGAAGAGCTATGGACTTGCCCTCCCTGTCTCCTATGCTTGCAAGTACAACTTACAGCATGTAATGAAAGACCCTGCAAGGATATCAGAGGCAACAAGAAGGGCTTCTTCAAGTACAAGAGGGGCAACAGGAAGACGAGGCAAAAACATGAACCTGTTGCTGAGTGGGGCAGGGGCCCTGGTGACACAGGACATGGAAAAGGCTGAGGTACTGAAAGTCTTCTTTGCCTCAGTCTTTGCTAGCAAGACCAGACCTCAGGAAACCCAGGCTAGAGAGACAAGGGGGAAAGGCTGGAAGGAAGACGTACCCTTGGTGGAAGAGGATCAGGTTAGAGAACACTTAAGCAAACTGGACATATAAAGTTGATGGACCCAGAAGGGATACGTCAAGTGCTGTCAGAGTTGGCAAATGTCATTGCAGGGAACTTTTAGTCAGTACAAAATTCCCAGAATAATGCAGAATACAACTTGATGAAGGCTCATAGCATTATATTGTAAAACATTCAGACAGAAGCCAATACTCTGATACATAGCAAGAATGAGGGACAAATATTATAGTACTTATGAATTTGGATTAATGTTTGTCAAATAAACTTAGTTACCATTTTCTAGATACATTTGGAAAGTGACATCAAGTCTGTCTTAGTCCACCTACAAAACACTTCACACTTGCTCTGAAGACACACCCTGGCTAAATAAATGAACTGCATACGCTAAAGGTTAGAGTTTGGCCTTCACAATCATTCTTTATAGCCCTAGCATAAAGTAGTATAACAAATGGAAATAAAACAATTTTAGAAAAGGTCAATAGTAGGAGAGCAAAAAAAAAATCATAACACCCATAGGATTTTCCTATCTAATAGATGAAGCCACTGTTAAAATACTCTCATTCTTACAGTGAACAGCAGTATCGCATTTAATTAGGTAAGCACTTGAAAACGGTCATTCGACAAGATACACACTCACCATACCGAAGTCCACTGATTTTAGTGTATCCAAGTAAGATTTAAAAGCTGTGTTAAGTGAAGATTCCATGGAAGCAAGTACCTTCCCCTCCCCACCATTAATATCATGGGACACAACATTGGAATCCTTGCTGTCAAATGTGGACTGTACTGAAAGCAGACACTGCCAGTGTCTCCTCCTTGTACTTTAAAGACGGTTCCAATTTTTGTCTGAACAGAAAGAGAACAATCTTATCGCAAAGATTTAGTGTAGGTGAGCAGTAACAGTGAAGTTAGAAAACTGTCACCAAGAAAGTTAGCTTTCTTGTTCCATCAATCATGAGTATGTCAAAATAAGTTAGTTGCAAGTTATGCAAAGCTCAGAACAAGTATCAAACTTACGACTACTTCCAAATTCTTCAAACAGGAGCTTCACTTTCTCCCATTCTGTGGAGTTCTTCTTGTTGGGAATATTCAAAGGAACAAAAGCACTGTAACAAAGAAAAAAGTCATCTCACCCTAATTAGCCAAATATGAAAAGAATTCTAGTTCCAAGTTAAGAAAACAGAAACCCATTTATTCCTGAAGAAAAATTGTATGATGCTAGGTTTAAAAAATTCTGAAGGCAAGGTTTCATTTCATTCACATTCCTCTCAAATGCTGTATTTAGATCAGCAGAGTACGCGTGCAAGTGCATGCCGAGTCAGGTCTGAGGTCAATGAACAAGTGATTTTCCATTTACCAGTCCTAAAAGAGGTAAGGACCCTACACTCAAGCATCTTTAAAAGATGTGTTCATCTAATTTACTATCCTGGTTTAACTCATGTGCAGAGCAGTGAAAAGACTTTAAGCATCAATTGCAACAAATTCTCTTATAAATCCACACTTTTGAAAGCTAGAATAAAACAATTACCGATTCCCACACCAAGCATTAAAGTTTAATAGAAGATAAACATGTCCCTTTATTACAACTAAAATAACACTACATCTGCTGTATTCTGTTCCTTGTTCTGCAGTTCATCCAGAGAACTGAACTGCAGAGACATTAAATATTTTTGACCTTCTAATAAGCAGAGACTAGCAAAGAGCACTCAGAAGAATGTCAGGTAGAACAGTCCCCCAGCTGAAAGTTTCCTGCCATCAGTCTCCCCATCCAAAGTCCAACAAAAAGAGTAACTCTTCAGCATCTCCTTAGACAGAACAGCTGGCTTTCTAACAGCTGGAAAAATGTGTACCTCCATACCAACCTGAAACCATAGCTTCCAGATATAACACAGAATGCCTACAAGTCATAAGGAAGTCCGATATAGAGGGAAACTTTTTAGGTAAAGAATGCACGAACCCAAAACAAAGTCCATAAAGAATGCTCAGAAGTATCTTTTGGACTTTTGTAAGAAAGAGTACGTAATTAGATCCCTGCTTATAGCCCAAACAAACAAATGAATAACACATATGCATCTTCCAGGACTATGCCTCAAACTTCAAGCACAGACATAAGCATGTTGCAAAGGTTAGTGCTAAACCATCTGGGTGCACTTATAATCATCCCACCAAAACCAAAACTGAACTGGTACTCTCCAAACAGAGTTCAAATTGTAAAAATTAAAATTTTAACTTTTAAAAAATGTTTAATTTTTAGCTTCTTGATTGTGCAAGAGGTAGATTAAGGCTAGAATTTACTGAAGTTGATGCATGCTTGCTGATTTTAGATTTTGTTCTTGTATCTGCCTCTAACAGTAATTCTCTCTGTAAAATCGCATCGTGGCAAAATCAAGACACGGGTATTAAAACAAAGTTAGGCAAAATGTCTACTTACAAGAGACAGCAATACAAATAACTGCAGGTTTATTTGCTAAAAAGGGTTAAAACAGGAGACTATGGGAAACTAAGCAAACTCAAGTCCTTTTATTTTAGTATTGGCATGAATTTGCTATCTGTGGACCGCATGCAGGGAACAAGTGAGATGGAAGGACATCTTAAGATATTTAAAACTTGCTTGCCTTTCCCCGTGCCCCCCCAAATAGCAATATGGTTACTTTTTTTTCTGAGACTACCTACAACCAGCATGTCAAAGGACACTAATCAGAGCAGAAGCCACAGCACCCATTACACACACTTGTCAATTAGTACTCAGCTAAATCTTGACTGAAGGAGATGGACACCTGAGAAGTGCCATGCACCAAGGGCCTCAGAAAGGAATGCAGGAGTTGTAAATTCACACACTTTAGTCCCAAGCAAGCAGGAATCTTCTCTTCCCTCCTCAACAGGGTCCCTCAACTAGTAGCAAACTAGCCAGAAGGCTAGCTAGCCCACTTGAACAGACTTTTGGTCTCTAGCTTAATAGGCCACAAGAAGAACAAGACAGAGTTAGCAAGCCTAGCCATCTATGGACCTGCAACCAGTCCACACTCCCAAATCATCTCAAAAACACATCCCACCCACTGCACCAGCACAGCACACAGAAGTTTCAGCCTATTCTTCATGCATGCTAAGCAAGAAGAAATTTGACAAGTCTTGGCTAGTTTGCTATGTTGACTAAATGGTCAACACAGCCTGAGGGCCATAGTAGCCATCAACAGGACGAGAAGTGTCCATGCTAAATAACTCCATTCACCCACCATCACTGGAATGCAATAGATGTCAGTCCACTGACAGCGAACGAACAGAGTACAAGTGCCAGCGCAGGGTTTTACCAGTGCAGCTCAGCACTCAGATAATGCAAGCAAAGACAGCAGCTCAGCTGTGATGCCTCACATTTGGAGTTCTGGACACAAATGAAATTACAAACTGCAGTAATTTTAAGAATAGAAGTAAACTGCTATGCTGTTTAAAACACATCCTGGGAATATTATGATTAAGATCCAGATCAATGTCTAGGCTGCAGAACAAGAAAAGTAATGCACACAAGCAGTTTAAAACAATTAGCATTTAGTAGGGCTAATAACACGCAAGTATACAAGAGTTAAGTTTGATCCTTAAATCAAAGAGTGCCATTAACTGTCATCCTTAGGAAAATAATTTCTAACCCACTAGATTTAAACTAATTTCCTTAAAGTAAGTTCTGCTATAATATAATTTGCATAATTATTTATAGGCTAATTAGACACATTCATAGCTTTTTAAAAGCTAACGGTTCCTGAAAAATTTAAGGTAACCTCTTTAATTACAAACACAAAACAGTCAGGGAAACATTCCTGTTAGAATCAAACGTTCATTAGCCTCAAAAGCAAATATTTTAGTTCAAACCAGACTGCTGTACAAGGGTGACTTAATGTAGATTCTAGTATCTCAGGCCCCTTGGCTCTAGCACATGACATTAAGAGTAAATAAACTATATTCAAGTAAAGTAGACAGTTTCTAAGAAGGGAAAGGCATTACAAGTAAATATTAGTTCCAAGTATTCCAGCATAAATTTGTCCCATACTTTGCTTTTAATGATACTCGGCATCAAGTTATTTGTGCGCAGAGCATTTAAGAGCTCTTACAGACAGGCACATTTTTGCCACAGCAAAAGGCTTTGTAACAGACAACTTGAGTAGGAGTTATAAATACTACTCCTGCTAACAACTTAGACAATGGAATCCTGCTCATTGAGCTGCATTATCAACTTACAAAAACCCTCCAGTATCACCTGGTATTAAACACATTATTATGTTTCCTAAAATAGTCACATAGATGTCTAATGGAGCAGAGAAAACATCCGGGTAAGAATAAGATATTCTTAACCTTCAAGCTTAATGGAGCTTTTATGGTTTCTTTGAGGACTGATGACCAGGTAAGAGGCAGGGACTTCTTGTGTAGACCTATCTTTAAAAGAACCAAGCTATTTATTGACCTGTTTTAATTACACAAATTACCGCAATTTCTTCAGCACAGTCACCTCATTTGCTTCCTAAACAGAGTTGTTCAGTCTTGTAGTTTCCCTTAATGGGAATAGACAAGAAGTATATTCTTCGGCAACAGCATCTTAAGTAGCAAGGGTATTTTTCCATTCTGAAGGCATTAGGACAATGCTATTATTTCATCATTACCATCTTAAAAGAAAGCAAGCAACCTCATATGTATGATAGCAGAAAAATTGTTCCAGTTAGAACTCAGAAATACTACCATCCCTATCAGTACTTAAAGGAGTCCTGCCTCCCTGCAGCAGATACTCCTGCTGTTTGGATCAGTGGGTTTCAAGTCAGTACCCCTGGAGAAGCACTGTTGAGTAACTAACTTAGTCCCAGACCAAGTACTACAGCTGTCTGGTTTGCAAGTCAATTCACTGTCACATAGCACAGAGGGGATTGTGGAAGCTTACAAGTTGAAGACTTTAAAGAACAAGCCTAAGCACATGGAGGACAATTAGAAAGTCAAGATCCAAGTCCCATCTTACTGGAAGAAGAACAAACATGCTTACAGCTACTGAGGATTCAGCTGACACCTACTAGAGATACTGCAAAATTTTCTAAACCGGATATATTATACAGTATGTATATTATATGTATGCTTATGATGTGAGCCAACAGTCAGAGAAATAGCTTTTGTCAGAAGCTTTACTAATATTTTTAGATCATGATTAGGTTAACTCAAACTCCTTTAGTCTCTCATTGCAAATTTGTTTCTTTTAATTGAAAGGACAATAGACTTAGAAATGTACAAAAGTGTTTATCAAAACTAAACCAATATTCCAATAGGGTGGTATACAATTAGAAGCATTAACTTCACTGTTTCTACTTCACACTCCAATACGTCGATATGGATCATTTTAGCATATATTCTGTAAATTTAACCAACTTTATTGCTGCAGTCAAAATGCTAAAAAGCTTATGACAAAGTATACATTAGAAATACTCAACATTGGTGTGCAGGTCATGCTTAATGGTGTAATACTGCTTGGAGTTTCAGAAAAACAGCACTTGCTGCAAACAAGCAGACAACACTGAAGTGGGTAACCTTTCAAACAAATGCCAGCAAAACCTTTATCATACAAGGCACAGCTATGTCAAGTATAACCCCACACTACACTTATGTCTTTCACAGAACACTTCCCTTTAGGAAAGTACTAAGCACGTAACATCTACTCATAGTCCTAAAAGCTGTTTTGGGATGTTCATGAAAACATTTGATCAAGGCAGAAAACAGGAAGAGCACACATATTTTACCCCTGTTGTGCACTGAGATGTCAATATAGCTGTAAATGTTGACACTGCATAGACAGGCAGAACTTGGAAGCACAAGAACTTCCACAATTAAGAAAAACATTTTAGCTTCCAGGTCAACTCTTACTTTTCAGGCACCTAATACTCAGGATGTTTAAGCCCTATTAGAGATTAAGGTAGATATTCATTACACAGATTAAATGTGCCATAAACTACCTTTTAATCTTGCACAGAACAAAGTTCTATTTGGGGTTCTATTTAGTATATCCTCCATTAGTGTTCAATACAAATACTTACCCAATTAAGAGAAGAACTGCACAAACTGTGATGAATCCCAGAGTATATTTAAGTGCAGTTTTAACCTGCTGTATATTAAAGAGAAAGTTAATATGTTAACATAAAATACATCCAAAGGTATCTATCCAACAAGTTATGGCAAAGCATACTTAGCATAACAGGTGTTCTACAAAAGGACCTCCACAGAAAACATGAGTAGTTCTAGATACAAGTCAGAAGTATACGTTCTTGAAGAGTCTCATAGTTTGAGGACTAAGAACAATGACATTGAATTATGCTTGCTTCATTAACTATGCACTTGAGCAGCTGTGACCAGAAGCCAGGGTACCTTCATTCAGTGCAAATACACTCGAAGAAAATTCTTATTACCAAAATGCTTTATATTATGGCTACAATTAGAAGTCTTTTTTCTCATGTTAAGGTTACAACTGAATAGAGGGTAAAATGATCATGATCAATTATTAAAAGATTCTTTAAGAAAAGTATTTTCATTTTAGAAGTTAGGACCTCACTGACATGCGTTTATTATATTCCCTGGAATGCAGTGCATGTCAAAAATCTTCAGTGCATTACAAAAATAACCATGTGCTAGCTTAAGGTAAATTACTACTGCCTACTTCAAGAAAAAAATGCAAATGCTACAAGAAGTAAGGTATTCAAATTTAGTGTCTGTCTCAGAATCAGCATAGTCTTCCTGCCTCCTACTTTAAAACCTGTTCATACATCTTTTCTGTTCTAAGGAAAAATCTCATGTAAGAAGTTTTAACTTCCTGTATATGAAATCTGGCTTAAAGGAATTTGTAGGAAGCTTAAAGAACTAATGGCAATACAGATGTTAATTACTTGACTCACTAAAGTTTCATTTCATGTGAGACCACAGTGCTTAAAGTAGACTATGTCAGATTAAGTGTTATTAACAGCTGCCTCAGTATTTTAAAGGAACTGTAGTAATAGACTTAGAAATGCTATTAACGTTGTAGTATTCAAGTTAAACAATCATTCTTGCTTTCCTTTTTGCCTGTAGTCATTTGTCTTTTCACTGCTTGGTGCATTTGCTAGAGTGAACTTACTGAGCATGTGTGGCCGTCATCTTCTTCCTTCTCCTCATAATAGAAATAGACAAAGGGAATCCACAGAAAGACGCAGAACAGTATGATGGAGTACAAAGCTAGGAGAAAGAATTTAATTAAGTGAAGAGACAAAGTTACATTGGCACTTTCATTTACTGCACAGTAATTCAAAGGAAAGAATCAAACATCAATTTCTTCTCATTCTAGCTCTTACTAATTTCAAGCATTGAAAAGTTAATAACATTTACTAGCCAGTATATGAACTGTTACTACTTTGTGAACTCCAAAGGACTTAGAGAACAAACTCTTTCAGACTAAGGACTTCAGCTCAATTCAGCAATGAGAAAAAGACTTACAGTAATCCTCTGCATGTAGGTGATATACAGGACTAGCACACTGGGGAAGAGGTAGCATAGAGGATAGCAAATAAAAGCAAGCAATGCCACTTAATAACAGAAGTTGTTCATGGAAAAGATACATACCAAAATACAACAAATTTAAAGCTATTTTGATCACTGGACTCCATTTCAGGGCATGTTCTACCATTAATGTAAGTAGAATATAGATGGAAGGCATGGTTCTGATACTGCTGACCTCAGTTCACAAACTAGAGCAAGCCATAGCAATGCAGTACCATCACTTAACACCCCTTTAAAGGGGGGACTAATTGGAGATTGCAACAGACATTCATCTGAGTAGTGACTAAATCAAAACAGTCATACTGTCATATTACTATGATGCACAGGTGATCTTATGACACTTTAAACCACCTAGTTTAATATAAGTGAAGGGTTAACACAAGTCTTCACAAATACTAACCACCAAGTTAGAAGACATTAAGAAAGCTAGTTAAAAATCAGTTGGACAGATTAGCCAGTGATATGAAGGGAGGAGACCAATTTCAGATCAATAATTTCAAGTTTAAATCTTCAGCTCTCTGTATTATAAGAAGTTATACTTCTTAGGACATCATTATTTAGCAAAATACTTGAATACTTAAAAATACCTCATACCATGACTTCAGAAGTCCATCAGGAAACTAAAAACTGTTAAGTATTTGTACCTGTTATTTAGCAAAATACTTGAATAATACTTAAAAATACCTCATACTATGACTTCAGAAGTCCATCGGGAAACTAAAAACTGTTAAGTATTTGTACCCTACAAGAAAGTTAACCTAGAATAGTTCACCGAGCCCTCAAAATGTTAGAGATACCACACAACACATAGCTACATTTGACTTGTGCTTACTAATTCCTAGAAGCCCAAGTCCTTATGTCAGTGACTCTGTATCAAACACTTGCAGTAAGCAGATAAAACTCCATGCAAAATCATCCAAGTTATACCAAGTACTACTTTGGATAAATTCTTACTCAATAACTTTAACCTAGGAACCACCATACAATAACTATCACTGACATAAGAAAATATTTCTATTTAAGAAAAAAAAAAATGGAAAATTGGAAGTTTAGTATAGACTTTAAAGCACACTCAAGGAGATCTCCATAGAGTTTAGCAGACAGTCCTTGCCACACTATAGTTTGGAAACATTTAACACATGCAGGTCAAGAGATCTTAGCCTACCTCACAGGAAGACTGGGATCTACCAAAGGCATCCTTCCACCATTCTCAACACTTTACCAAAGGACACTGAACACCAAGCTGACTCCAACAGGTAGCATTTACTTATTAGAAGAAACCAAACAAGAGCTATAGAACACAGCTCCAGGTTACTGTCAATTGTTTCAGTCTGATTATTGGTGGCACAGAGGAAACCACCATTGGACGGTTTCCAACATAACCCCTTCTGAAAAGGGTTTTCCTTCCAAACACACACTGACATGCTCTTTTAGAGCATCTGCCAAACACTGATCGTTCGTCAATCACTCAGGTACTGGCAGACACGTTCTACTACAGTTGGGTTTATGAGAATTAACACACTGAGCCACTACGGCTTTAACGCAGCCAGACTGGTTTCCCAAGTAAAGCTTTTAGGCTACTGAAGTCCAGCTTCAAAATAGTTATTTCAAGATCCATTCTGGAAGTTACCTCATTTATCATTCTACCAGTACAAAGCCATTCCACTTTCGTATCAGTCTGGCTAAGAAACCAGCTTGGTATGAGAGAAAACCTTGTTCAGGGGGACTACCAACTCTGTTAAAAAAAAAAGCTTTTCTACATTTAGTAACAGCCTTCTCAGTAAGCTGCAATACAGGTAGTAAAGTAATCCTTAATATTCTAAAACACCAGTTAAACCACAGCCTCCAAATTCTTGCTACAATTAAAAGTGACTTGGATTGAAGGACAGTGACCTAAGAGTACGTATTATTCATACTGCAAGTTGCCAATACAGCTGCAGGAGGCAAGTTAGATCTATATTGTTATCACTGCATTTTCAAGAGACATAAGAAAGCACTGGTATTCATGTCCTTAGGAACAAACGGAGATTTCAGTTCTGCTCATCCTATTTATTAAAAAAACTAAATATGCCAAGAC